CTAGGGAAAATGTACAAGGTGAGGAAAAAAAACTAAGACAAAAACCCCATGGAGGGCTTCCCTGGTGGCGCAGTGGTTGAGAGTCCGCCTGCCGATGCAGTGGACACGGGTTCGTGCCCCGGTCCGGGAAGATCCCACATGCCGCGGAGCGGCTGGGCCCGTGAGCCTATGGCCACTGAGACTGTGCGCCCGGAGCCTGTGCTCCGCAACGGGAGAGGCCACGACAGTGAGAGGCCCGCGTACCGCAAAAAAAAAAAAAAAAAACCATGGAACACTAACATTTAGAAGACAAACAAAAGAAGAGCTAGGAGAGGAGACTGAAGGGAATGGCCAAAAAGGAAGATGAAAATATTAACAAGAGGAAAAGGAGTAAGCACTTAATGAATGCTTACTATGTGCTAGGTGTTGCACTAAGTGATTTACGGGCACTACCTCATTTAATCCTTACATACCCTATGAGCAATTTACCACTGTTATCTGCATCCTTACAGATGTGGACATTTTGGCTTAGAGAGATCACCTTGCTCAGATTTACACATTTGGTGGAGTATAAGAAGTGCAACCACGATTACACCCTCATCCTCCAGAGCCCTTGTTCTTAACCGCTACACTGTACTGCTTCCTATAAGACTTAAAAGGTGTGGCATCACAGACACAAAGAAAAACAGTGATTCAAAAAGAAAGACACCACCCTAGTGACGATGAGCTCGCTTAGCACCAAGACCTTGATTTCTAACCACACTCTCCATAAAAAGGAATCAGGACTCTTTCGGAAAATGGCTGATCTGAGGAATGGGCAGGAAACATGTCAAAGGGACACGGAAAAGCAACTGAACGCTCCCAATGGCCACAGTCCTAACAATCTGAGCAAAGAAACTGAAATAGTATTGGACTATGACCCAGACTATACACCAAATATCCCTGAGTCCATACTGGTATAAAGAGAGAATTAACTAACTAACTAAATAAATGGAGGAGATGAGACAAATCTAGGGTGGAAGAATTCCAAACAAATTATGTAGATATTCACAACTCCAAGAGGTGGAGCAAACTCTCCACTCCTCAAGTGTGGGCTCCACATAATGAATTCCTTCCAAAGACTATGGTACGGGAAGGGGGAAGGGGTAGAGAGTGCCTCTACAGTAGAGAAACATGACAGACACTACATCAGCCAAGTGACCAAGGTTCACACCAATAATGATAAGTCATGTTGATACCCTTAATATGTCGTGATGAAAACGACCCTTTATCTCTGTGGTCTTTCTCTCAAAAACCTATAACCCCAATCTAAGTATGAGAAAAACAATTAGAAAAATCCCAATTCAGGGACATTCTACAAAATACCCAACCAGTACACCTCAAAACTGTCAAGTTATTAAAAACATGGAAAGTCTGAGATACTGTCACAGCCAAAAGAAGCAAAGGATGCATGATCATGAAATGTAATGTGGTATCCTGAATGCTCTCCTGGAACAGAAAAAGGACATTAGCTACAAACTAAGGAAGTCTGAATAAAGTATGAACTTCTATTCATTATAATGTATCAATACTGGCTCATTAATTATAAAATCTGTACTAGAATAATGTAGGATGTCAACAGTAGGGAAACCGAGTGAGAGGTTTATGAGACTTCTCTGTACTATTTCTGTGATTTCTCTATAAACCTAAAACTGTTCTAAAATTAAAAGGTTATTTTTAAAGGGTGGGGGGCACATTAACTGTGCCAAAAGCTGATAAACCGAAAACAAAAAAAGACAAAATCAAAGGCAGTTTCAATGGATTAATGGAGTCAAAAGCCAGATTACATTGGGCAGAGAAGTGAATGAAAGCTGAGAATGGGACTGTAAGTGTATAGCTTCTTTCAAGAAGTCTGATGATGGGGAGAACAAATGAGGGCTGGAAGTAGAGATTAAGTTGAAGAAAATGTTTTTTGTTTAAATCAAGGTATAATTCACATACCCCAAAATTCACTGATTTCCAGCATATACACAAGGTTATATAGCTACAACCACTATTTCCAGAACCTTTTTATGACTTCAAAAAGAAATGGTAAAATTAAAGAAGGCTTAGACACGTTGAATATGTTCATAAATAAGAAGACATAGCATTGTTAAGATGTCAATAAAACCAAAGTGATTTAGAGATTCAATGCAATCTCTATCAAAAATCTAACAGCCTGGGCTTCCCTGGTGGCGCAGTGGTTAAGAATCTGCCTGCCAATGCAGGGGACACGGGTTCGAGCCCTGGTCCGGGAAGATCCCACATGCCGCGGAGCAACTAAGCCCGTGCACCACAACTACTGACCCTGTGCTCTAGAGCCCATGAGCCACAACTACTGAAGCCCGTGTGCCACAACTACTGAAGCCCACACGCCTAGAGCCTGTGCTCTGCAACAAGAGAAGCCACCACAATGAGAAGCCTGTGCCCCGCAACAAAGAGTAGCCCCCGCTCACTGCAACTAGAGAAAGCCCACGTGCAGCAGCGAAGACCCAATGCAGCCAAAAGTTAATGAATAAATAAATAAAAATTTTTTAAAAATCTAACAGCCTTTTCCACAGAAATGGGAAATGTAATCTTCAAATTCATGCGGAATTGCAAGAGATCCTAAATAGCCAAAACAATCTCGAAGAAGAATAAAGTAGGAGGACTCACACTTTTTGACTTTGAAACATACTACAAAACTACAGTAATTAAAACATTATGGTATTGACGTATGGACAGACATATAGACCAATGCAATAGAATAAAAAGTCCAGAAATAAATCCTCACATATACGGCCAACTGATTTTTGACAGGGGTGCTAAGACCATTCAGTGGTCAAAGGACAGTCTTTTTGACAAATGGTACTGGCAAAACTGGATATCCTTATGTCAGTTTGACCCTGACTTTGTATCATATACAAAAACTAACTCAAAATGGATCAAAGACCTAAACCTAAGAGCTAAAACTTTAAAATTCATGGAAGAAAACATTGGGGAAAATTTTCGTGACCCTGGATTTGGCAACCACTATATGGAAATGACACCAAAAGCACAGGCAATAGTAGAAAAAATAGATTAACTGGACTTCATCAAAACAAAGAAGTTTTGCACATCAAAGGATACTATCAAGGAAGCAAAAAGACAACCTGATGAATGCGAGAAAATTTTTGCAAATCAATTATCTCATAAGGAATTAATATCCAGAACACATAAAAACTTCTAGAACTCAACAACAAAAAACAAAAAATCCAATTCAAAAATGGGCAAAAGACTTGAGTAGACATTTCTTCAAAGAAGATATATGAATAGCAAATAAGCACATGAAAATACGCTCAATATTACTAGTCATTAGGGAAATGCAAATCGAAACCACAATAAGATATCACTTCACACCTATAACGATGGCTATAATAAGTGTTGGCAAGAATGTGGAGAAACTGGAACCCTTGTGCACTGCTGATGGAATGTAAAATGGTACAGCTGCTGTAAAACTCGAAATGGCAATTCCTCAAAAAATTAAAAATAATTCTGTTATTTGACCCATATGACATATGACCCAGCAATTCCACTTTTGGAATATATCCGAAAGAACTAAATCAGGGTCTCAAAAAGATATCTGTACTCCCAGTTCACAGCAGCATCACTCACAATAGCTAAAATATGGAAGCAACCCATGTGTCCACTGATGGATGAATGGATAAGCAAAAAGTGCTACATACTTAAAATGGAATGGTATTCAGCCTTAAAAAGGAAGGGAATTCGGCCATATGCTACCACATGGGTGAAACTTGAGGACACTAAGCAAAATAAGCCAGTCACAAAAAGACAAATACTGTATAATTCTACTTATATGAGGTACGCAGAGTAGTGAAAATCATAGATACAGAAAGTAGAATAGTTCTTGCCAGAGGTTTAAAGGAGGAGGTGAAAATAGGGAATTGTTGTTTAATGGGTGTAGAATTTTAGTTTTGCAAGATGAAGAGTTTCGGATATGAATGGTGGTGATGGTGGCACAATATGAATGTACTTAAATGCCACCAAACTGGACACTTAAAAATGGTTGAAGTGGTAAACTTTATGTTATGTGTGTTTTACCACAATAAAAAAAAATTGGGGAAAAAATGACAAGCATCAAGGCTTCAAGTATCTCATTGCTTCTTAATACATTTAAATTCTTAGAATACTTCTACAGACCATTTCTACACTTAAGCTAGCAATTTTTATACTGAAATACAGATTTCTCTAGCCTTCTCTCCACCTTAGACATACATAGCCCACCTTAGACATAAAGCCTTTGAGGAAGCTGATGTTTCTCTCATAGCTATCTGTATTGTAATAGTAGACACTTTTGTTTTTACCTTTATATATAATGGAAAAATTTAATCATATACAAAGGAAGAGAGAAAAGAATAATGAAACCCCGTATAACTATCACCCAGCTTAAACCATTAACCAACTCACAGAGAATTCTGTTTTATCTATAATTCCACTCACTTTACCCTTCTTCCTTCACTGGATTATTCTGAAGCCAATCCCAAACACCATATCATTTCAACCATAAAGATTTCAGATGTTATTTCTACATACTAAGAGATACTGTTGAAAGATACATAGTGAAAGATACTGACAAGTGTCCTGCACAAATTCTTGTATGGATGGATCAGATTTCTGATATAAGTATTCCCCCAGTAACCATCTATTACACAAAGGAATTATATATATATTCATTCATTCTACTGTATTCCTTACAAGTTAAACCACTAGCAAATAGGGTCTCTCAACACACACACACACACACACACACACTCTCTCTCTCCCTCTCCCTCTCTCCACCTCTCAGAGGTAACTGACTTTTATATGATAAAAGTTCTTTGGAATATGACAGTTCTTTGGAATATAACACAGTAATATTATATAATTATTATACATAAAGTAATTCTTCATTTAACTGCTTATTTTATATAACAAATGCAATAAAACTAGCTCAAAGCACAAAATTTTTATTCAACTGTCCTTACCTTTTGTCGGACTGAGATTCTGATCTATAAATCCTCTTAATTCTGCATTTGTGGAAGTCAAACCAACCTGAATAAAATAGTTTAAAAAATTATACATAGGATCTTAAATAATATGTGATCACTTAATAAGCTATTATTAATAACTTTCCACCAGAGGTCCATATCAAATATTATACATTGTCACATAAAGATGAGTTAATGATATCAACTATAGGAGCTGGATTAACACATTGTCATTTTGCTTGAAATGGGAAAAATAATGCACTGTCCAGATCAAGATAAAAATTAATGAAATAATGTTACTTACGAGCAGATGTGAGATCTACAGATTTCACTGATGGTTTTTTATTGAAAGCAAGTAATCTGGCAACCATGAAGTTGCCAAAAGATATACCAAAATTCCACCCTCATTGCTGCCCTTAATTTTTACTGTTCACAATCACTGCATATAATGCTTTTAAACATTATGACATGTAATGGACCAAATAAAGACCATTAATACCACAACGCAGACATAAGGTCCACTGGCCTTGGGTTCATCCTGCAGTTCATCAAACCCATTATGTGTATGGCCGTGGTCAAGTCACACAAGCTCTCTATATCTCGGTCTCCTCATCCATAAATTAGAGGCCGCTAAAGGTGCTTACCAATTCAGGTTGTTAGAAAGATTAAGAAAAAGAATTCATGTAAAGCACAGGGCTTGGCACAAAGTGCTCAATCCATTTGAATGTTCATTACTGTTTGTTAAGATACTTGAGGGACTACCTAAAGCAAGTGTGTTTATAAATTCTCCTTCAGACAATATATTTCTTTTAATGTGATGTCTACTGGACTACTCAGAATCATAAGCTGAATATGGTAGTATCATCAAGCGGAGTTTTAAAATTTCATTATAGATAGAGCCAGCAGGAAAAAACCCTCTATTTTTAAAAACTTGTCACAAAGCAAGTATCCAATAAATGGTTCTACTATTACTACTGTATTATTGTTTTAATCCTTGTAGATTTGTAACCTTGAAACATCCATGCTAATTTGGTACCCCAAACATCCTCTCAAAGTACTAACACACTGAAAGGATTTTAAGGCACACAAAGCTCTGTAAGTTTCTATCTGTGTACTTGCTTTATGTTTTTAAACTATCCACTGCTTTAACACTGTATGTTCTTCAAAACCACTCATTTGATACTTTATAATTTCATAATATAAGAGCTAATTATTTCATTATTTGGGAATTCAGATGTTCTACTAATAGCTATTTCTTTTTTTCAAGAGATGCTACCAGAAATATTTCTACATATCATTCACATCATAGAAAAGTAATTCTGATGCAAACCTATGTCTGGCATCTAATATTAAATTTTTATGGAAGCAGCTGAAGACAGAGGCATCTAAAACATAGCCTCTTAATTCTATGTAGATAATGGTGCAGATCCTTAATCCTGTCTAGCTTCTCGTAAGTATTCTATTAGAAGTGAAGTAAAGGAAACCTTTTGCAACACAATTTCCAACAAAATACCACTGCATGGATTTCCAGAGTTGCTCACAAATACTAACGTTAAGCGTTCAATTTGTAGATGCCAAGAGTTTACTGTGGCATCACTAACATGCCTCTCCTTTTTAAGCTCTTCTACTACAAAAAAAGAGAACGGCAAAATTTTTGTTGGTGCTCTACTGTAAACAGAAAGCAAAGAAGGCAAAGACAGCCTTTAATATATTCCATGCTTAATACTATGTGGTTACTTAATACATTACAATAACTTCAAAGGTATCAGTTTATACCTTTTTGTTGTTATACAGAGATAAACGGCAAAAACCTCAACCAAAACCACATACTCACAGACGAGGGTTCAGTTACTGGATTACTGTTTCATTTAAACACCTGCTCTTCCTGTTCAACTTTTGCTACTTCTGAGTGAAGCAGCAAACGTATTAGGAAATGTTTTAAGCAGCTGTACACCTGCACCTTAGTGAACAACAGGTTATACCCCAAAAAGATAAAAGTCAATTGTAAATCAATAGTGTGTGTACTTTTGGTCTCATGGATGGAGGGGAGGTGTTTGTATTCAGAGCTTAAATAAACACTACTAAAATTTATTTAATTAAAACTTCAAAAATGTATTAATTTCTGCTTTCATAAACACTGTATAGTTTAAAGATTCAAAGAAAATGCAGATATGCAAGTAGAAAAAGTTGGGTAGGAAAGGCATTTAAAAATATTAGTTATTCTTTCTTTACTGTCCATTTAAAAAGGATCTTTCTACATAATGTTTCTCAGATCAAGAGAAAAAAGTAAACTAATTTTATGTAAAATTTTTCATCTAATAAGATCCTGAGAAAAGTTTTCTATCAGGATATTCAAACACTGTGTTGCATACTGTAAGCAGTCACTAAATGTCTATTGAATAAAAAATATCCAAAGCCCAAATGTTAAGAGACAAACGGTATTCCCCAATAACAGCATTATAATTTCACTGATCTTTAACATTTCAGATTGATATAACTGAAAGATACAAAGCGAGATGGTCTGTGGTCAAAGTTCAGCTCTACCATTCATTCACAAGCAAGGTGTTCTTGGAACAGTCACTGCAAAATGAGGATGACAATACACATGTGTACAACAAACTCAGACAGCTCTTTAGACCAAATTAAATAATTATGTGAACATGTTTGTTAATGGCAAAGCAATATTCAAGTTTGGGTCGTTAATCCAAAGGGCAATGGCCTTCCTACTTCAACACTGACCTAGACAATTCATAAGAGAGACACAAATGACCAATAAACACGGAGAATACCAATTTGACCTAACTAGCAATTAGAGAAATGTAGTAAATGACATACCATTTTTTTTGCTGATTAGATTGACCAAGATTAGAAAGAAAATAAAGGGAAATGGCACTCTCATACACCACCGGTGAATATGTAAATTGGTGCAATCTTTCTGAAATGCAATTTAGCAATATGAATCAAGAGTCCAAAAAGTACATACTCTTTGGGCCAGTAATTTCATAAGACTTTGGTTTCATGGAAATAATCCAATGAGTAAACAAAAATAAACAAAAAGTTAAAAAAAGAGAAAAATGGAAGTAACGGCCAATATTAGGAAACTAGTGTAATGTCCATAGAACAGATAACATAAAAGAGCCATTTAACATGATGTTACAGAGTTATCAAGATAAGAAAAGGTTTTCATCATAGAGACTAAACTAAATAGTAGGTTACAAAACAGTCTGGCCTCATTTTTATTAAAAAATATATAATATACATAGATTTTGGTGTGTATATATATATATATATATATATATATATATATATATAGAGTGTGTGTGTGTGTGTGTGTGTGTGTGTGTGTGTGTACCAGATGTGTTCTTAGGCAGAATTCTGCTGATAATCTCTAGGCTAGTTTCTTTTCTTTATCTGTACTTTCTAATTTTTCTGTAATGAGTATTATGGCTTACATATTGTTAAAAGATTCTTTGACAAGGCAAAAAATTACACCTCAAATTATCTTTCAAATTCTTTACTGTATACTAAGTGAACTTAAGTGAGAACACATCTCCATTTTTGGTCTAGAAGAGTATCACTGGATACTAGATACTACCGGATAACAATTTTATCCCAGATACAATGAATATATTGCCAGCTCTGCAGAACTTCCTTTTGCAAAATGAAACATCCCACACTCCACGCAGTTCTGGTAGGGCTGTTCATCTTAGAGCCTCAAATGTGCTATGACAATAGGAGTGGACCCATGACCCACAATGAAGCAGCAAACCATTTATGGTACCCTACTTCCTTCTCTACTTGTCTAAGCGTGTGGGCCAAGCAGAGTCAACCAAAGCTCCTCCATGGAATTTGAAATATAAATGCTAAAAAAGAAAAGTTCCCTCTCTTCTTCTGAGATAAGCATTATGAGGCCAATGTAGGCTACTATGCCACCATATAGAGCCAAGAGTTGGAAAAAGGGAGGCAGAGCCCTGATGCCCATCATTTCCCTGAACCCGGTTGTATTTGAAGACAGAGTACTCCAGACTTTTCAGTTATGCCAATCAACACATTCCATGTTTTGCCTTAAGTGATTCTGAATAGGGTTTCTAACACCTGCAACCATAAGAGACCTAGGGGCTTCCCTGGTGGCGCAGCGGTTGAGCGTCCGCCTGCCGATGCAGGGGACACGGGTTTGTGCCCCGGTCCGGGAAGATCCCACATGCTGCGGAGCGGCTGCACCCGTGAGCCATGGCCGCTGAGCCTGCGCGTCCGGAGCCTGTGTTCCGCAACGGGAGAGGCCACAGCGGTGAGAGGCCCGCGTACCGCAAAAATAATAATAATAATGCTTCCATAAAACCTGGGCAATCTCTTCCATAACTAAGAGTCACTTTTCAGCGGCATGTGACACAATTATCACTCCCTCCGCCCTTCCTGAAACACTGTCTTCACTTGGCTTCCACATCATCAGGGTAACGTTCTTTCCTTCCTCCTTTCTGTCCATTCCTTCAGTGTCTTTTGCTGTCTCTCCTCCTCCCCAATTGTTGGAGATTCCCTGCGTTCAGACCTTGGTCCTGATGTATTCTCTAGTTCTCTAGCCACGCATGAACTATATAATCTCATGGAATCATACTGCTTTAAAATAATCAATCTAATATGAAATGACTCCAAAATTTTTATATCCAGCCCCAAGCTTTCCCCTGAGCTCCAGAGTCATTATTAATCATTATATTAACTTCCTTGTCAATATCTCCACCTGGATGTTTTCAGGTCCCTGGACTTTAATATATTCAAAACAATTTTTGAGTTTGCCACAAAATCCTGTACTACCCCAAGGGTTCCTCTTCTCATTAAACCGCAAAGGCACTTACCCAGTTACAGAAGCCAAATGTTGAGAAATCTTTAACTTCTTCCCTGTCCCCATATCCTAATTACTCAATGAGTCCCGGTGGCTGTCCCTTCAAATACATCTTAGATTCAACCACTTTTCCCCATCTCTAATATCATTACCCCAGCTCAAGTCACCATACTCTGATGTCTGAACTACTGGGACAAGTACCAAATGAGTTCCCCACTTCTACTATGCCCCTCTTCAGTCTATTCACTCAGCAGCCAGAACAAGCTTTTGAAAATGCTAAGTCAGGACATGAAACCATCCTCAAAACCCCCTATAGCTCCCCACTGACATTTAAAACACACGCTGCTCACCCCAGTGTTTGAGGCTCCCCGTGACCTGGATCCTCCCACGCTCCCCAGCTTAATTACTCCGTTCCGTCTTAACAACTGGTCCTTTGCTGCTCTTTGAACAACCTCTACCTGGAATGCTCTTTCCCCAGGTATTCACATGGCTGGCTCCTTCTTCTTGCACTGAGGCTGAAGAGCATTCTTCTGTCTAAACATCATTTCCTTAAAGAGGACTCTTCTGAACACCTCGTTGAAAGAGATCTCCCCCATCGCTGTCACATTCTCTCCTCTTACCCTGTTTTATTTTTCTTCATAACAGTTATCGTTACCTGACATTATATATTTACCATCTTCTCTCACTACACTATAAACCCCAAGAAGGTAGGAGCCCGGAACAGCGTCAGACACATCTATTTGTTGGAGAGAGATGGGGAGGGGAGAGATGAGAATGAGTTGTTCATGGCATTGTAAACTGGTATGAGCCTTCCCGTAAGTGCCTCAACAAAATATATTAATATGTCACAAAAATGTTCTTATCTATTACAGAATGGCTAGTGAACTTGATTAGATGTTTAGCCTATTTCAATTCTTTCCCACATGCTTCAGCCCAGTCTGAGGCCTGACCTCTCCATGTCCCCAACTCCAGGGAATCAGAAGAGGGTCAGCTCATGACGTAGCCCTTTCCCCCTAGGTTGCTGTAGCAGAAAGAGGAACTGTTTGCATACTCTTTGATTACTTCCAAATATACAAACGAAATAATGGGAGAATAGTTACCACTGGTTCAAACGCTGTGTTACTTTAGGGAAACAGCTTTTAATACAGCAAACTGTACATATGGCTAGGAAGATTTAAGGTACATTTTTAAGCCAAGATATACTTGCTAGCTGAATGTTAACCATCTTGTTGCTCAGGATAACTTTTACACTCTCTTTTTTCTAGAGGAGGGAAAATCAAGGAAATACCCTGGAAGAAAATTCCCAATACACAGACTAAAAATTTTCTTCTTCTTTTCCCCAGACAGCACTTAAACGAATATATACAAGAGCCATAGATTAAAAGAGACTACTCTCAATGGATAAAGAAGATGTGGCACATATACCACACGAACAAAATGAAACTGGGTCATTTGTAGAGACGTGGATGGACCTAGAGACTGTCACACAGAGTGAGTCACAAAGCGAAAAACACATATCACATATTAACCCATATATGTGGAATCTAGAAAAATGGTACAGATGAACCGGTTTGCAAGGCAGAAATAAATACACAGATGTAGAGAACAAACGTATGGACACCAAGGCGGAAAAGCTGGAACTGGGAGATTGGGATTGACATATATACACTAATATGTATAAAACAGATAACTAATGAGAACCCGCTGTATAGCACAGGGAACTCAACACCACTTCTCCGTACAGTAGAAACTAACACAACACTGTAAAACAAATGTACCCCAATGAAAAAAATTTTTAAAAAGCAGACTACTCCTGATAATTTATGCTAAAAAATTAATTAGATGATAATGAACCAAAGTCTATATCTGCTTATAGCTACTCATGTGTGTTAAAAGAAGGTCAATAATGGGAAAATAGAGATAAGTAATCAGGGTGTTTTTTTGGTTTTTGGCTGTTTTTTGTTTGTTTGTTTGTTTTTGATGCTCTTCTTTAAATGTATAATGGGTAGTATCTGGAACTATCTGTCTGGCTCACGAGATCTTTTTACACAATGTAACACTTGCCTCTGGTCACAACTAGCCCAACTACTAGCAGATATCAGGCTGGAGTAGTGACACAGGTCCTTCCCAAGGAGTCTGAAATTAGAGCTGACATAGGCAGACAGGATTTGTCAGGCTGCTTGCCCCCATTTCCTTCCTCTCTCTCTCTCTCTGAATAGGCTGGTACTGTAACAAGTAGATCAAGATGCTGACTGAGAACTGAGGAAGATAATTAGCAGAGAGACAGAGAGTAATGAAGCCAGTGCACAGAAACAAATAGAGATGACAAATGGAAACCAAATACTGCTTCGATTCCTGGTAGATTTCAAGTTTCTGGACTCAGATCTTTCGGAGGACCCACTAAATTCCTCCTCTTGAATTCCCTGAGACATCCGGTATCTTTATAATAAATTCCCTTTTTGTTTAAGGTAGCCCAAGCTGGTTTCTGTTACCTGTAATCAAATATTCCAACATAATCTGGAAACAGTAATTATAATAAATTATTTCCCTATATGTTGTAGTATTTCTTTTCTGGCATAATCCTTCACCATGACTGGAAATAAATCCACTGATACAGGGTGATAATAAGAATGTAACTTGAAAGGAAGTAGATTCAGAAATGAGAGCCTTAAGCAAAAGAAAAACAGAAATAACTTCTCCAAAAAAACTAAGTCTCATGTTCCCTCAGAAATCATCTCATGGAGGACAGCAAGCTTCCTCTGAACAACATTTGACTGTACACACTTCCAACAGTAAACCCAAAAGAAAAAATGTGAGCCAAAGAAAACAGTGATTTTTCTCAATAATGCCAAGTAAGTCTCCAGCAAGCACCAAAACAAATTTATCACAGCACACAAAACAGGAGGGGTGGGGGAGTGGGAAACCTTCTGGAGATAGCAATTTTGCAGTTGTTGAGATGGAGCAACCTGGCATCGATTTGCAATGGTCATAAGAGCATAATATTCAACAGTGTTAAAGTTTACTATCTCATTCTTTGCAGGATCAAAAACAGTGATCAACTAATGCTGGTAAACTGAATTTCATTAATCAGAATGACAAAGCAAATATGCATACGAAAAAGTACAACTCATTTTTTAAATACTTACATTTAAAAATTTACAAATACTTACATTTTTTGCCGTCATGTCAAATTGTATTCAATTTAAAATTCTGTAAAGCCATTAAAAAACAAACAAAAAAACAAAACAAAACAAAAAACTTCGTCTTCAATATTCTTTAAAAGAACATCCTGTTAAAGGGAAAAAAGGGAATAATAATGTAATAATAATAATAAGCAACATTTATATCACATTTACTATGTGGCATGCATCGTTCTTTAAATTACCTAAATTAACCCTTACAACAACACTGTGAGATATGTACCATTCTAACTGTCATTTTCCAGATAAAAATTGAGATTCAGAGATGTTAAATAATTTGACCAAATCAACTCAGCTAAGAAGTGACAAAGACTGGGCTTTGAAATATTATACCATGCTGTTTTAGATAATCCACTGAAAGCAACACCAGGGCTTCTTGGAGAAACAGCCAATTCCAGCACTGGGCAGGTAATGTATAAGATAAACCTAGAACACTGTATTGTACCTAAAGTAAGTATGGGCTCGAAAAATGACGGAGACATATCAAAAGTATACAGGAGCCAGCTTAAAGGGTCTACAACTTAAAGGGACAACTTAAGCCAGCTTAAAGGGGCAATTAAGCACCTAAGTATATACTGATAGCAACAGACTATAATCTAAACCCATCAAATAATAATCCAGGAGTCCATACTGATAGGAACAAATAACAAGGAGGAAGGGAAAGCTCTTCTTTGCGATACAATGCCAACTAATATGTATAAAGAAATGAAGCAGTTAGAAAACTACCAATTTGTAAACACTGTGATATTAATGGATTGGGCAAGAATCACCAAAAGATGCTAAAACTAGTAGATGAAAGTTGGTGGGATATTTAC